ATCCATCAGCTCTATCAGGGGTGGGAAGAATGTTTCATTATGAGTCCTTTAGAATCGTGGTTGGTCATTCCACAAATCAGATTCCCTAAATCTTTCAAAGTTGTTTGTTTTTACAATATTATTATCACTGTATAATTTGTTCTCCTGATTTTGTTCATTTTGCATCAGTACATCAATTCATATGTCTTCCTAGGTTTCTCTGAAACCAGCCCCTTCATCTTTTCTTAAAACAATAGCATTCCTCATATTCTTATAACATAATGCAGCTAGGTGGCACAGTAAATAGAGATATGGACCCAGAATCAAATAGAGCAGAGTTAAAATTTGGTTTTAGACACTTTCTACCTGTATGACTCTGGGCAAGTAATTTAGCCTCTGTTTGCCTCAGTTTCCTGAACTATAAAATGGGGTGTAATAGCACGTATTGGGTAGCTGGGTAGCATATGAATAGAATGTTAAGCTTGGAGTCAGGAAGGCTCATCTTCTCCTGCCTCAGAAACTTACTAGCTGTGTGACCCTGGGCAAGTCACTTCATCCTGTTTGCCTCAGTTTTCTCATCTGTAAAATGATCTGTAGAAGGAATGACAAACCACTCCAGTATCTTTGCCGAAAAAACCCCAAATGTGATCGTGAAGAATTGGACACGACTGAAATGACTCAACAACAGGCTGTTAGATGGGAGTAAAATCCTAGGCTACATGTAATCTCTGGGAAGAGTCATTCTGGATCATTCAAATAGTATAGTTTAAGGACAAGAACCTGTCACACAGTTAGAAGACCTGGTTTTGGGGGCAGCTAAGTGGTGCAGTGAATAGAGTTTGTGGCCTGAGGACAGGAAGATTCACCTTTGTAAGTTCAAATCTGGCCTCGGATACTTCTTAGCTGTGTGACCTTGGGCAAGTCACTTAACTGTTTGCCTCAGTTTCCTTATCTGTAAGATGAGCTGCAGAAGGAAATGGCAAACCCCTATAGTATCTTTGCTGAGAAAACCTCAAATGGGGTCATGAAGAATCGGACACAACTGAGAAATGACTGAAAGGTACCTATCTCTCAGGGTTATTGTAAGGATCAAATGAGAAAATATTTGCAAAAAGTGCTTAGCAAAGTACCTGGAACAAATAGTTTTAATAATCCCTGTGCTGTAGTATAGTTTGATATCTGGTAATGCTAGGCTCCCTTCCTTATCTCTTTTTTTCATGATTTCCCTTGACATTCTTGACCTTTTGTTCCTCCAGATGAATTTCATTATTATTTTTGATTAGTATGGCACTGAATCAGTAAATTAATTTAGGTAGTATCATTTTCATTATACCAGCAGGGCCTAGCAATCAGCAATTAATCTTTTCTCCAACTTTTTAGGTCTGTCTGTATTTCTGTCAAAAGTGTTTTGTAATTGTCCTCTTATCATTCCTCTCTATGTATGTGTTGGTAGGTGAACTCTCCTGTATTTCTTTCCGGCCATCATATCACACTCTCTTCTTTGTGGGCTCTGGGGTAGAGGGCACCCCAACACCTCTGGAATCAGACGTGGTTATTCTTTTTCTCCACCCCTTTAATGATCCTAACTTCTCCCCACCCTCTAAAACAACCTTCTCCACCTGATCCATTCCTGATGTAAATATTATTTAGCTTCCAATCAGGAAGGGCTAACTGAGGTAGAAAAAGCCCTGGACTAAGGAGTCAGGAGACCAGATTTAGCATCTAAGTGTGTGTGTGTGTGTGTGTGTGTGAATCTTTAACAAGTTTATTTCATTTCTTTGAACCTCACACATCTAAAAAATGGGAATATTGCCTCTTAAAGGTTCTTAGAAATCACCCAAACCACACCCTTTCCTCTAACAGATAAAGGCCTAGAAGAGGTGACCGTCCATTAATAGACTCAGACCTACAGCCGGCAGGGTTCTAGTCCGACTCCCTAATTTTACAGGAGAGGAAAAAGAGGTCCACGGAGGGTAGGTAACTCGTCCAAAGTCACTGAGGTAACTAACATCGGAGGCAGGATTTTGATTCCTCTTTGGGTCCTCCCCCGTACTTTATCTCTTCATCCTGCATGATGAAATCAACTTGAAAACTCACATCTCAACAACCCCCCCAGCCCCTGGGGCCTCTTCCTCCTTCTAGAGTGAGAGTGTGGAAGGGAGACAGTGGAGCTCCTCCCAGCTCTGTAAGGACAGCGTGCAGGGAATTCTCCCACCTGGCTGCTCTTCTGGACTTCACGATCTCCAGAAACTCAACATTCTGTAAGACAAAATCAACTCGGAAACTCACATCTCCTGAGAGAATTTCCCACCCCAGCCTCAGAACTCATTGTACCCCAGAGCCCAACTTTAAGCTTTTTTGTGCGTGTTCCCTTTCGTTAGATTGTGAGCTTCTAGAGAGCAGGGGCTGTCTTATGCCTTTCTTTGGATCCCAGTAGTAGGTGTTTAATTACTGCTTACTGAGTCTGAATTAGAA